TAATTAATTTATTTATTTATTTATTTATTTATTTATTTATTTATTTATTTATTTATTTATAATGTTCTTCCCCCCTTTCCCCCTCTTTGAAGGCGCTGCTGCTGAGGAGCTGCAGCAAAGCGGCAGCACTTCTGCTTTTACATTCATGAGTTCATTTAAACTGCTGCTGCTGCTGCTGCCGCTGCTGCTGCTGCTGCTGCTGCTGCTGCTGCTGCTGCAGTGCGTTGCTGCTGCTGCACCTGCGTCTCTCCCAGCGTCCGTCTCTGTCTCTGTCTCGGTACGAGTCTCCGCCCCAGCGACTTCTCTCTCTTTCCCTTTCTCTCTCTCTTTCTCTCTCTCTTTCTCTTTCTCTGTCTCTGTCTCTTTCTCTGTCTCTTTCTCTATTTATTTCTCTATTTATATCTCTGTTTGCTTCTCGGTCTCTGCGGTAGAAGTGGTCGGGGGCTTTGTAGCTCATTTTGGGCTGCGGTGTACGTACACCTGCTGCGGTGCACTGCGGCGGGCCGCCGGCGCAACTCCGCGGCAAATCGGCGCAAATCGGCGCAAATCGACGCAAATCGGCGCAAAAAGGAATTAATAAATTAAATTAAACAAATTAAATGAAATTCAGAGGATAACGGGGAAAAACGCCGCCAAGTGGCCGCAGAAAGACCCAAAAAAGCCTCCCCGGCTGCCAGAACCGCCGACGGCCGCGCAGCAGCTCTCCGCGCGAATCGCGCCTTCCCGAGACCCCCAGAAAACCCCAAACTCCGAAACTGCAGAAATAAATAAAAATAAAACAAAAATTCGGAGAAAAAGCTGAAAAAACGGCGAAAAGGCTGTCCGTACACCCCAAGCTGCATGCGCCGCCAGCCCCGGCCAAGAAAGCCCCGGACTTCCTCCTCCCGCGCCTTTCTGGCCTTCTTTTCGAATTTAAAACTCCTTTACGAGCATTAAAACTCTTTTTAATTTTAATTTTAATGTTTTTAATTTTCATTTTAATGTTTTAATTTTAATTTTAATGTTTTTTCGCTTTTAGTTCTTCAAATTCCGCTGTCAGTGGTCAGCAGCCACCGCCGCAGGCGGTGGCTGCTGACACCCGCCACCCCAACTCGAAACTCTCAGATTAAATTTTAGTTTTATTATTTCCCAAATAAATGAATAAATAGCTAGCTAGCTAGCTAGCTAGCTAGCTAGCTAGCTAGCTAGCTAGCTGGCTAGCTGGCCGAGCAGTTACTGGCCAGCCAGCCAGCGAGCCAGCTAGCCAGCTGAGAAGACAGCCAGCCAGTCACCCAGCTAGCTAGCCAGCTAGCCAACCAGCTAGCTAGCCATGTGCTAGCTAGCCACCTGGCTTTCCCATCTACAGGCGATATAAGACTAGCTAGCTAGCTAGCTAGCTAGCTAGCTAGCTAGCTAGCTAGCTAGCTAGCTGGATACATCCTGTTGCCCAGCTAGCCAGCTGCTGTCTAACTACCTAGCTGGCTAGCTAGCTAAATCTGCTGCATTTGCTGCTGCACTTGCTGCTGCTGCATTTGCTGCTGCTGCTGCTGCTGCTGCTGCAATAAATAAAAGAATAAATAAAAGAATAAATAGAATAATAAATAAAAGAATAAATAAAAGAAATAATAAAAGAAATAAAAACAGAAAGACGCAAATGAAAACAAAAAAAGAGAATTCGAATTGGAATGGTAAGAAAGTCCAAGAAACAAAAGCCCAGCGCGTCCAAACCCTAAACCCTAAACCCTAAACCCTAAACCCTAAACCCTCCCTCCCTGCTCCTCAACAACAACAACCAGCTGCTGCTGCTGCTGCTGCTGCTGCTGCTGCTGCTGCTGCTGTTTTTAATTATTTATTTATTTATTTATTTATATTTTTATTTATTTATTTATTTATTTATTTTTTGAATTTATTTATTTGTCTTCAACTCCACTTCGCCGCTTCACCTCCGCCGGTCCCTCTCCCGCTCATCCCTAAACACCAAACCCTCATAAACCCTCATAAACCCTCAAACCCTCATAAACCCTCAAACCCTCATAAACCCTCATAAACCCTCACAAACCCTCATAAACCCTCATAAACCCTCACAAACCCTCACAAACCCTCACAAACCCTCACAAACCCTCACAAACCAAACCCTCATAAACCCTCATAAACCCTCACAAACCCTCACAAACCAAACCCTCATAAACCCTCATAAACCCTCACAAACCCTCACAAACCCTCACAAACCCTCACAAACATTATGTTTATTAGGGTTTATTAGGGTTTATTAGGATTTATTAGGGTTTACTAGGGTTTATTAGGGTTTATGAGTGTTTATTAATGTTTATTAAACCCTCCCAAACCCTAAACCCCCAAACACCCCCTAAACCCCCAAACACCCCCTAAACCCCCGAATAAACCCTAAACCCCCAAATAAACCCCAAAACCCTCAAATAAACCCTAAACCCCCAAATAAACCCTAAAGCCCCAAACAACCCCCCAAAACTCCCAAAACCCCAAATAAACCCTAAAACCCCCAAACAAACCCCAAAACTCCAAACTACCCCAAATAAACCCTAAAAACCCCAAACAAACCCTAAAAACCCCCAAAACTCCAAATAAACCCTAAAAACCCCAAATAAACCCTAAAAACCCCCAAAACCCCCCAAAACTCCAAATAAACCCTAAAACCCTCAAATAAACCCTAAAAACCCTAAATAAACCCTAAAAACCCCAAACAACCCCTAAAAACCCTCAAAACCCCCAAAACTCCAAATAAACCCTAAAAACCCCAAATAAACCCTAAAACCCCCAAATAAACCCTAAAAACCCCAAACAACCCCCAAAACCTCAAATAAACCCCCAAAACCTCAAACAACCCCTAAAACCCCCAAACAACCCCCCAAACCCCCAACCACCCCCCATTG